CCCAATCCGTGAAGGAGCCCGGCAACGGGTTCTGGAACGGAACGGGGGAAGTAGCGCTGTGCTGTGAGTCGTCTGCTTCTTCTGTGGAGTGAAGCCACGCAGCTGTGACCAGAGAGCGCTGCCTTTCTTTCTTGGAAATTTGGCTTTGAAAACAACGATCCGTGAGTAGGATTTTTACGCAATTAAGGAACTGTACAAATTTGAAAGGAATTTGGCCGAAGCGGAGAGGTATAAAAAGGAAGTCTGCCTCCTGCTTCTGTAGATAAAACAAAGCATTGAACTTGAAAGCGGAAGCTTTGAAAAGACGCATAAAAGGATTTCAATCCAATCATCTAACCAGGACTTTTCCCCCTCAACTTGAGGGAAGAGGGGGGGAAGCTTTGAATGTTATTTCTTTAAGAAGAGGTGAGAAAAAGAAGATAAAAACCACCGCTCAATCCCTTGGGAACGGGTTCCCAGAGACAATAAAAAGCTGGAGAAAAGGTACTGTCTTTGAACATATTTTGACAGCTAGTCCTGCACTTGAAATACAATTTGGATACAATATTGTGGATAGGTATCTCCTGGTCTTAAAGTAACTGTTTAAGATAGATTGTTATCTTTCTGATGAATTGGGGGGACTTAAAGAAGAAGCAAAGCATTTAAGAACCTTATGACTGTTACAGTGTCCCCCTAGTGGAATTTGGAACTTGTTACAACTAGTTACAATTGCAGTTGGCCTGAGGATTTTCCCACACAGTCTTCTTGGAACTTTCCACTTCAAAACAATTCTGAATTCAACTGTGTGACTGACCTTGAGTTTTATCTAGAGGGGGATGGCAGATGGGAAAGAGAAATTAGAGTTGCTACAAGCAACAAGGTCGGGCAAAGTATTGCGAACAGACGGTGGACTACAAAGAAGAGCTTCGACCCCTGGCCCCTCTGGAGTTCCAACAGCAGCCCCATCGGCACAACCCAAAACTAAAGGTATGGCAAGTGATGATGCCTTTGCTCAGGTTTTGGCTAAAATTAATGAATCTTTGGACAAAATAAGCAAACAAGTAGCAGAGGCATCAGACAAGATTGATCAAAATACAACAAGTATTAATCAAAATACAACAAGTATTAATCAAAATACAGTAAGTTTAAATAATTTGGGCCAGAAAGTAAATACTAATACAGAGACTATTCAGAAATTATTAGAGAAATCGGCCTCAACACGTCAGATTGCCGAAGAGGCCAAAGAAATTGCTACAGCGTCTGTTGAAGAGGTTCAAGAGAAGATACCACCGTTACATAAACAACTTGAAGACCATAAGTTAACCCTGTCTATGATTGAGTTGAAAGAGAAACAAGTGAATTTAAGGGTCAGAGCAGTACCTGAAGTGGAGAAGGACAATTTAGTTGATTTTCTTACGCAGGAATTCTCAAATTTTTGGAATCCAGAATTGGTAAAAGACAGTTTCAAAATAGTGAATGCTTTTAGACTTGGAAAAGGAGGAGGAAAGAAGGTGAGAAACTGTTTGATTACTCTCCGAACAAAAGAAGAGAGGGACAAGATCTTGGGTTTGCATTTCCAGAAGACACTGGAAATACATCAGACAAGAGTGGAGATATTTAAGGACATTCCGAAACACCTTCTGGATCTCAGATCTAACTATAAAGACCTGGTTACCTTGTTGAAAAGTAAAAGAATTAACTTCAGGTGGGAATTTCCTCAAGGCCTATCCTTTAGTTACAAAGGAAAAAAGAGGAAAATAAGATCGGAAGACGACAAAGACAAATTCTGGAGAGACCACGGAGAAGACCTACAAAAGAAAGTCACAGGAGAGCTAAGAACAATTGCAAGAGAAGCTTTAGACATACCAGGACTACCTCTGGAACTAAAAGACCGCCTGAAAAACGTGATACCACCGACGGAACAGGAACAGGCACTAGGTGCCGTTGGAGGAGAACCAAAATAATCACATAATGGCCCTGCAACTATTAACCTGGAACTGTCATGGTCTGAATTCCCCTCAGAAAAGGAAATCAGTGTTTCACTTATTAAAAAAGGAACAACTGGACTTGATCTGCCTACAAGAAACACATATAACAAGATTACACAGGAAATTGTTGATAAATAAAAGACTTGGTCAGGAGTTTATTTCATCGGACAAAGTTAAAAAAAGAGGGGTTGTGATTTATGCAAAGGACAGACTATCACCGAAATTTGTTTTTAAAGATGACCAAGGAAGATTTGTGGCAATTGAAATTCAAACACAAGGAGAAAAATTTTTGATAGTAGGAATCTATGCACCAAATGATGGGAAATCTGAATTTTTAAAGAAGTTGCACGAGACCCTGATGGACTATTTGGATTACAACATGATTTTGATGGGAGACATGAATGGAGTGGTATCTACATATATGGACAAGGCACAAAGACAGGTAGTCACTAAGGATGGTAGACTACCGAAAACCTTTTTTGACATGACAGACAACTTGGACTTAGTTGATATTTGGAGAATAAGAAACCCCATGGCTAAAGAGGGAACCTTCTTTTCTGAAGTCAAAATAACATGGACAAGAATTGACCAAATTTGGATAACTAGAGGAATGGCACCAAAGACAAGAAAGGTGGAAATCTGCCCGAAAACTTGCTCCGACCACAATGCTGTCAAGATGGAAATGAGATTAACACCGACTGGCTCCTTTAGATGGAAGATGAATGACACCTTATTTAGAGATGAAGAAGTACTTAAGAAGGCCCAAAAAACCTTGAGAGACTATTTTGAGATAAATTTGAGCACCAATGTGGAGAAAAGAGTAATCTGGGACGCAAGTAAAGCGGTTATGAGAGGGTTCCTAATACAACAGAACGCAGTAAAGAAAAGAATTCAAAATGAGAAGAAGGACAAGATAATGGACAAAATAAAGGAAAGTGAAAAAAGACTGAGAGTAAACCCAAAATCTCAAGAGATTTTGAGAGAGTTAAAGTTATATCAAGTACAATATATGAAAATGACGAATCAGGAAATAGAATGGAAAATTAAACAAATGAGACAAAAGACATTTGAGTTGGCTAACAAATGTGGTAAATTTTTGGCATGGCAAATGAAAAAGAGACAAAAACTAAATACAGTCACGAACTTAGAAGTGGAAGGAAGAAATATACAGAACCCCGCAGAGATTAGAAATTGTTTCCAGAGGTACTTTAAACGATTATATACCCAAGGGCCATTGAAAGAAACAGACTTAGATCAATTTTTGAAAACAAATGGATTACAAAAATATCTCAAGAAAATAAACTAATTTTGAATTACAAAATAACTGAACAGGAAATAGAAGGTGCCATTCAAAATATGCAATTGGGTAAATCTCCAGGACCAGATGGTTTGACTTCTAGATACTATAGATCCTTGAAAGAATGGTTAATACAACCTTTGAAAGAGGTCTGCAATGAAATAATGGAGGGGAAAAGAGCACCAGAGTCGTGGAAAGAAGCATATATTACACTTATACCGAAAACAGAGACTGAAAAGACACAGCTTAAGAACTACCGCCCTATATCATTACTTAATGTGGATTACAAAATTTTTGCTGACATTTTGGCCAAGAGATTTAAAAAAAGTGTTGATGGAAGAGATTCATAAGGACCAAGCAGGCTTTCTCCCAGGAAGACATCTGTCTGACAATTTGAGGAATATAATTGATATTCTGGAAAAACTAGAAGTGAACATAAACACTAAAGCAGTTTTGATGTTTGTGGACGCGGAAAAAGCCTTTGACAACATTTCCTGGAACTTTATGAAGAAGAATCTACAGGGCATGGGGGTAGGCCAAGGCTTTGAGAATGGTATAAGTGCAATTTATTCAGAACAAAAGGCTAAATTAATTGTAAATAATGTGGTGACGGAAGAACTTAAAATTGAAAAAGGGACACAACAAGGTTGCCCAATTTCCCCACTTCTTTTTATTTCGGTCCTGGAGGTTTTGCTGAACATGATTAGAAGGGACCAGTTGGTCAAAGGTATACAGGTCGGAGCTAAACAGTACAAATTGAGAGCATTTGCAGTTGATTTGGTATTGACGTTACAGGAGCCAGAATCTAGTACTAAAAGAGTTTTAGAATTGATTCAAGAATTTGGTCAAGCTGCAGGATTTAAATTGAACAAGGTAAAAACTAAGGTTTTAGAGAAAAATCTAACACCAATGGAGAAAGAGAGGTTTCAGAATATGACAGGTTTAACAGTGGTTAAGAAAGTGAAATACCTGGGGATCAACATGACAGCAAAAAATGGGAATTTATTTAAAGATAATTATGAAAAATGTTGGGCTGAAGTGAAAAAAGATTTAGAAATTTGGTCAAATTTGAAGCTTTCACTGCTGGGCCGTATTGCTGCGATAAAAATGAGTGTATTGCCTAGAATGTTGTTTTTGTTTCAAACTTTGCAAATTGTGGACAAAATGGATTGTTTCAAGAGGTGGCAGAAAGACATTTCTAGATTTGTCTGGCAGGGCAAGAAGCCCAGAATAAAATTTAAAATACTAACGGACGCAAAGGAAAGAGGTGGATTTGCCCTGCCAGATCTCAAACTTTATTATGAATCAGCAGCTTTTTGCTGGTTGAAAGAATGGCTGCTTCTTGAAAACACTGACATTTTGGACCTAGAAGGTTTTAATAATGTATTTGGATGGCATGCATATCTGTGGTATGATAAGGTCAAAGCACATAAAGCATTTAAAAACCACATTGTCAGGAAAGTGCTGTATAATGTTAGGATAAGATATAAGGATTTATTAGAAAATAAAACCCCAAGGTGGCTGTCACCAATGGAAGCGAAAGCCTTGAAAAAGCTCAATATGGAGGTCAAATGGCCGAAATATTGGGAAATTTTGGAACAAGATGGAGATAGACTGAAATTGCAGAGCTTTGAAAAACTAAAAAACAAAGTGCGAGACTGGCTCCATTATTTTCAGATAATGGAGGCATTTAAATTGGACAAGAAAATTGGCTTCCAGGTGGAAAAATGAAAATTAGAAACTGAACTGTTAGAACCCAAAACTAAGAATTTGTCAAGAATGTATAACTTGCTGCTGAAATGGAACACTCAGGATGAAACGGTAAAATCTGCTATGATTAAATGGGCACAAGACGTTGGACACAACATTATGTTTGCTGACTGGGAACAGTTATGGACCACAGGTATGAAATTTACGGCATGTAATGCCCTAAGAGAGAATATTATGAAAATGATATACAGGTGGTACATAACCCCAGTCAAGCTTGCAAAAATCTATCATTTGCCCGATAATAAATGTTGGAAATGTAAAGAAACTGAAGGTACATTTTTTCACCTTTGGTGGACGTGCCCAAAGATTAAGGTTTTCTGGGAAATGATATATAATGAATTAAAAAAGGTATTTAAATATACCTTCTTGAAGAAACCAGAGGCCTTTCTCCTGGGCATAGTCGGCCAAACGGTGTTAAAAAAGGATAGAACTTTCTTTATGTACGCAACAACAGCAGCAAGAATACTCATCGCAAAGTATTGGAAGACACAAGAGCTCCCCACACTGGAGGAATGGCAGATGAAACTGATGGATTATATGGAACTGGCGGAAATGACTGGTAGAATCCGTGACCAGGGAGAAGAGTTGGTGGAGGAAGATTGGAAGAAATTCAAAGACTATCTGCAGAAACATTGCAAAATTAAAGAATGTTAGAGTGATGTTGGATTGAAAATAAGTGGCTTCTAGCTATACAGGCTTTAAAGTTATATATAGATCAAGATTAAGGATTAGGATTAAAAAAAAAAAAGTTAAAGGAAATGGAAATTTGGTTTTTAAGAGGTAAAAATTTAAGGTTATATTATATTAAGATTAAGGATTGGGATTAAAAAAGAGGGAAAGCAACTGCTGGACAAACAAATTGAAGTGGAATACAAAAGAGGGAGGTATGAGGAGGTCCAGAAAATAAGTAAATTTAAAAATGGTGATGAAAAGGTGGTATTATTTTTAACTGTTTTCTTTTTTTGTCTTTTGCTTTTTTTTTTTTTGGATTATGTATTGTGTATTTTTGAATTGTGTATTTTTCTTTTTTCTTTTTAATTTTTTATTGATGTGTTCTTTTTATTGGAAACCTTAATAAATATCATTTTTTAAAAAAACAAAAACTGCCGTGTCAGAAACTGGATATCCAAAATTGGCTGCAGTGGAGCTTTCAAGTGGAGTTGTTGCTGGTGGGGGAGCAGCTTTGGGACGTAGTCCAGCCCCCACAGAATGCAGCTGGGAAAGCAGAAGCTGAAAGGGCTGCAGAGCAAAGTGAAGTTGAGACGCGTGTGCTTGCTTTTTTGGCAGAAAATGTGGATGCTCATCTAGTGCCAGTTGTCCTGGATGCAAAAAGGCCAGGGGCCGCTTGGCTAGCACTCCAAGAGGCTTGTGGAGCTGGGGTGGGAAGCAAGGGCCGAGAAGTGGCTGAATCCGAAAGGGAGAGGCAAGATGGCGCCGGCCACATTCTTGAGAGCCGACACACAGCTGGGAGGAGCTGGGAGCCCCCACGGGGGGGGGCGAAGGGACTGTTGCTGTTGCTGTTGCTGTTGCTGGCAATGCTGCTAGTGCTTTTGCTGAGCCTGGGAGCTGTGTGGATGCTGCAACGTGTCTGTGTGAGAAGCCAGGAGAGAGGCCAAGTGTTGGGAGCCCTTTACCCATCAGAGGGGGTGCAGGCAAACGTCCTGGAGACCCCGTGAGCAGTGGGGGGGCAGTGAGCAGTGAAAGCTCAGAGACGCCTCTTTCTCCAAAAGCTGCCAAGAGTTGTTTACGTCGTGAGTCGGAGCCTGGGAAGCTGAAAAGAGCTAGAGGCTCCAAGGCCGGCCACCTGCAGCAAAGACAGATAAGAGCTTCGGAGTTGTGTGGGAACGCCGAGACAAGACCAGTCTCCAAGGCAACTGAGAGAGTTGCATCTACGGAAGTTGTGAAGGTCGTGGGCAAGTCTCCCTGCCGGGGGGAGTCTGTTGCCATGATAGCCAGAGAGAACATCTGCAGAAGCCCCAAGGAGGGGGGTAGCGAGGAGAATGTTGCCATGGCGACCCAGGAATGTCAACAACAAGACTTTCTCACTGTAATAATTGACTCTGGTGCGACAAATACGCTAGTGCCATCTAGTGGTCTTTTAAGAAATTGCAGGACAGTAAAAACTCAAAAAACTGTGATGATCGCGGATGGAAGCAGAAAAAGACTAACAGAGACAGGCTTTTTCTTCTGTCCCTTTCTTAAGCATGAAGTCAAAGCTTTTGCGGCACCTGGTTTAACTAACTGTTTATTAAGCGTGCATGATCTACTTGCTGATGGTTTTCATGTGTCTTTTGCAGGTACCAAGTGTGAGTTTTCCAAGGATGGGAAACATGTGTACACAGTGCAGTCTAAAGGCAATTTGTTTGTTGCAAATGTGCCTTTTTCTACAGGAGAGGATGACACCGAAGATGCAAAGGGGCAATGTGTGAATATGGCGCCCCACCATGGTTGTTCGCATATTTGGCACAGAAGCTTCACCCATTTGAATTGGGGATATCTTCAGAAAGCACCAGAGCTGACACAAGGATGCAAATTTAATGTTTGTGACAAATTTTTAGATTGCAATGCATGTAAACAGGCGAAAATTGTGACATGCTCCTATCCAAAGTCAGAGAGGCAGACCACACAACCCTTTGAGTTAATTCATGCAGATTTGTGTGGACCCATGTCAGTTGAGTCACTGGGAGGATCAAAGTATTCTCTGCTTCTGGTTGATGATTTTTCGAGGTCTGCTTGGACCTTTGCCCTTAAAAAGAAAGGGGAGGCGGCTAAAATGATCAGGGATTGGATCACCGCAGTTGAGGTAACCTTTTCCACCAAAGTTCGTGGCTTTCAAAGTGACAGAGGTTCTGAATTCACTGGTTCTGCTTTACAGGATTTCTTTAGGGAGAAGGGGATTAGCCACAGATTGACCGCTCCTTACTCTCCGCAACAGAATGGGATCGCAGAGAGAAAGAACAGGACGGTGGAGGAAGCTGTGTCTGCGATCCTGTGGGACGCAGGGCTAACCCAGAAATATTGGTCTGAAGCTTGGAGATTTGTGGTCCATACGCAGAATAGAGTGTACAACTCTAGTGTAGGAAATACGCCTTATTTCTTACTGCATGGAAAGAAGCCTAAGGTACACTACCTTCGTGTGTTTGGTTGTGAGGCTTGGGCGCTTATTCCAAAGGCTCTATGCAAGAAAGGTGAGCCAAGATCTAAAAGAATGATCTTTGTAGGGTATGAGCCTGGCTCAAAGGCCTGGCGCTTTGCGTACCCAAGTGGAAACTAGTCAAGGTTGGTTATCAGCAATAGCGCTGAGTTCTGTGAGCAAGCAGGGTGGAAACGTCTGCACGCTAATCCAGACGTAATTCCACAGCAGTTCTACGACTCAGACATTGAGGAGGAAGAGGAACTTGTTGCTGGGGACCACGGTCCAGAGCAACAGGATCCACCACAGGGACAGAGTCCAAGGCAGGGACAGCTCAGGATCCCTCAGAGGGGGGAACCTAGAACACCTCCTCCGGCAAGTGTCAAGTTTGAGCCAAAGAGTGAGCCTTCTTCACCTGCTGGACCAGCTGTAAGGCCCAAGAGGTGCAGCAGGTCAGAGGGGGAAGACACTGAAGTTGAGGATGATTTAGCTGGACCCAGTGAAGCAGCAGGGTCACCAGGATTCACACTGAGGAGATCAGCGAGGACAAGGAGGCCTCCTGATCGGTACGACACTTCAGGCGTCTGGGTAGGTTCAGCCAGATGTGAACCTGAATCCTTCGAGGATATTCAGAGTTTACCTGAGGAAGAAGCAGGCAAGTGGCACAGGGCAATGGACAAAGAGATGAAGTCCATGAAAGATCTAGGTGTGTTCTCACTCACAGAGTTGCCACCGGGAAAACAGGCTGTGAGTTGCAGGTGGGTTTACCGCTTGAAGCCCACTGACACTGGAGAGCCACAGTATAAAGCTAGGTTAGTTGCTCGAGGATTCACTCAGAGAAAGGGAATACACTTCATGGAGGTGTATTCGCCAACGTCACGAGCGGAGACTCTGAGAACGCTTTTAGCTTGTGCAGCACAGAGAGGCTGGAAGGTAAACCACTTTGATGTGGATGTTGCCTACCTTAACTCAGATCTCCAGGAGGAGCTATACATGATTCCTCCTCCGGGGTTTGAGAACTTAAGGCAGGATGTTGTGTGGAGATTGCACAAATCCATCTATGGATTGCGTCAATCTGCTAGAAACTGGAACATGTGCCTGAATGAAGCCTTAGAAGAACTAGGTTTCAGAAGAAGTGTTGCTGATAGTTGCTTTTATTTGAGAGGATCAGGGGCAACACAAGAGTATTTGCAGATTTGGGTTGATGACTTGTTATTCTTCTCAGAGACAGATGAACAGGCAGAGAAGTTTGCCAAAGAGCTAGGTAAACGGTTCAAGCTTAAACAACTTGGTGCTGTCAAAACCTACCTAGGTGTCAATGTTGAGCGTGCACAGGATGGAAGCTTCTTGCTCAGCCAGAGAGGTTAAATTGAGCAACTGCTTCAGAAGTTCAGGATGAGTGATTGTGCAGGAGTGAGAAGTCCTATGGAGACTAGTTTTGTGAAGGACAGCCAGCAAGTAGAACGCGCTGCGTTTGATAATACTGAAGTGTTTCAGTCAGCCCTAGGGAGTTTGTTGTACTTGTCCCAGTGGAGCAGACCCGATATAGCGTTTGCTGTCAATCTGCTCAGCAGGGAAGCATCAAACCCTAGTGTGCAAGCCTGGAATGGCATCAAGAGAGTTCTGAGGTATTTGCAGGAAACCAAAGACTTTTGTCTTAGGTTACCAGCACAAGGAGAAGTCAAACTGACTTGCTTTGTGGACTCGGATTGGGCTAATCTTGAGGATCGCAAGTCTGTGTCTGGCCTAGTGGTGAAGTTTGGGAACTCAGTAGTTGGATGGAGGTCCAAGAAGCAAAGTCTTATAGCGCTCTCATCCACTGAGGCTGAGTTCAGTGCTCTTTCAGAGGTGTGCAGCGAAGTAGAGTTCTATGCTTGCTTAGTGCAGGAACTCTGCGAAGTGGATTGTCAACCGATACGTGTTTTCGAGGACAATCAACCATGCCTGCGTTTGGCAGAGTCAGGTCAGTTCAAGGCTAGAACTAAACACCTAGACGTTCACTTTCGGAATGTGTGCCAGAGTGTTCAGGAGGGATTAGTTGCGCTGAAGTATTGTCCCTCTGCCAAGAACCTAGCTTATGGGTTCACGAAGCCACTCTCCTTCCAAAGACATGGGGAGTTTTGCGAAGGTCTGGGTTTGGGACGACCAAGGGTCGATTCTCCCCTCAGGCGCGAGACAAGAGGGGGTGTTGGGTGTAGTGAAGGGTTAACCTTCTG